ACAGAGTAAACTTGAAAGCAAGTAGATGGCTAGAATGGGGTTGGGGGTGGGGAAAGTAGAATGAAAACTGCCTTTTAAAAGAACAGGTTTGGCATTTTTAAAAAATGGAAGATAGATAAGAGTTATGACCAATTTTTACCTTCAATTTGGTAACTGACATTACTTCACTGATTATACAGCCTACCTAAATTTATTGTCAGTTATACACCAATTTTTTCTCATGCTGAGTTTTAAAATTTGTTCCATAATTTAAAATTTCTTAAAATTTTTTGTGATGCTGGATCTAACACATGGCTTCATTCATTCTAGGCAAGCATCTACCACAGAACTACAATCCTAGCTCTGTCATATAGCTCTTAAACTGGAGCCAACCAGGTTGAGTTTGAGAGCCACCATATTAATGCAATATACAGTTAAGCATAAAGTACCTGCATTATAAAAATTTTAATTTCAAGCTTTTACTTTTTCCTTCTTTCTAGAACTTCCACAACTTGGGAAAAGAGATTTTACTAAGAGCCTCAGACATGAGATTAACTGTAATGATACAGAAAGTAAATCATCTCTTTCTTTTTTTGGTACCGGGGATCGAACCTGGGACCTTGCGCTTGCGAGGCAGGTGCCAGAACCACTGAGCTAAATCCTGGGCCCCAATCATCTCATTTTTTAAGTAGTAGCAAAGCCTAAAGATGACCTCGATATCAGAATAGGATTCTCATCTTCACTTATATACCTCAATCTGTAACAAAAAGGACCACAAAACCGAAGAAGATAATCTAGTACCTTCATATATAATCAATAAACTTCATATAAATGTCACATAAACTTCACATAAACTTCAATGAACTCAAGGAATCAATGAATACTTGCTAGCTTGCAAATAAACAAACATAGGGTCTTATAAATTAACATTTAAGTATATTCTACAGAAAAATTTAAAAGGTAGTAGCAGTGCTGACATGGACATACCCATTAGAGGCTCAGTTCAGGTCACCCGTTCTGTCACTTTCTTTTTCTGCCAATTAAGGTAAGAAAAACTCTAACACTAGGGAAGACTACCACTGCTAATTCATTATTGTGAGACTATCACTACAGCTGATTATTATCCTGATGTGGCAATATCAATAAATAAGATAACCAAACAATGATCTCCTTTAATGAAGTATTTTTCAAACTACAGTCTAAACCAATAAATTTAGTGTGTCATGGCTAACATCTGAGGAATGAAGGTACTGTTTTATAAAACTTTTGTTTCAGTTACAGTTTTGCAGCTATTTGCACTGGATTATAATATACCTTGAACTACTTTCTGTAGGTAACTATCATAAAAGCATGAAAGTTGCTGCTTCATGGCAGCATGAGAGAGACAGCACATCTTAGAATCAGCTAGACATGGTTTAGGATCATGGCTACTAGTTGTGTGACCCTTGATAAACTATATATTCAGATTATGCTTCTTCATGCATAAATAACCAATACTTTATTTTCAAGGTTTTGGTAAGAGGTAATATAAAGTGCTACATGCTATGCCTGATATGTACTCTTTGCTATTATAGTTTTCAGTCATCAATTTGAACATGAACTTTGGAGAACTGTTACAAATGAATAATTCAAATAATATATTTAAAAGATGCTGATAGGGTCAATTTCGCTCATAGTATTCAGAGGGATACAGAGAACACAAAAATCACAGTATATGTTTGTATCTACATAGTGATATAAACAATTCAAGAAGGCTATAAAGAAGAATCTATAATGGTTTCATTTCTGGACCTAAAAGCAAATGATGATCAGGATATTGTCATATCAAAAACAAGGATTTACATTAATCATTCTTTTTTTTTTGCGGTACCAGGGATCGAACTCAGGACCTTGTGCTTGCAAGGCAGGCGTGGTGTCACTGAGCTAAATCCCTGGCCTGAGATTAATCATTCTTTTCCATACAAATTACATCACTAGTTATACTGCAGCATTAACACTTGAAAATAACATTTTTCCAGTAGCTGCTTTCAGAATAAAAGCATGAAAATAAACATCTCAAGTAGGCAAAATCATCCTCCTAAGTAGGTAATAGCAATTAATTTCTTCACCAAATATTGAGTACTTACTACATGCCAGACACTTCAAGCTAGACATCATAGTAAGGAATAGTCCCTATGCTTACGGAAAATTTGGCAAAGAAGCTGAAGTATAATGATGCTAAAAGCCTTGCCCTGAATAATTTCAAGCTGAAAAGAGTAGTTTATCTTGTACTTGTGGGTCATCAGCTTATTTAACAAATTATAGTTTTTATTTGTAAAATTACAAATAAAAATTAAAATAAAAATGGAAAAATAAATTTTTGAAAAATGTTAGTTTTATATTGCACCAGTTACATATTCAAATTAATTCAAAGGAAATAAGTTACATGTTCACATTTTAAAATTTATAAGCACCTTAAAAGTAAGCAATTAAAATGAGAATTTCAAGTAGGACAAAGTCACATGTGTATGTACAAACACATATATAGAATTTCTGAAAAAATACATTCTTAGAAAGTAGGATATATTTATTAGAAACAAAGTGTAAATTACTAATGCATAGTAGTGGCACATCCATTTTCTCTTTATTTCATTTAGTACTTTCTAAATTCTCTATGTATACTACTATAATAATTAGAAAATATAATTTAAAAATATGAACTTTTTCACTTAACTACAATTATAGCTATATTTTAATAGGTACTACCCAAAATAGCTTCAGAGTGCTTTACATTTCAAACACCTAAAATGCAATCTCCACATTATCTCCATATCTCCATAATGCAATCTCCATATTATCAGATAAAAAATGAGTCATTGTGCCCTCATTTTGGCTGTTTTGCTTACTCTGAGTTAATGTATCTAATAATATAGCTCCAAAAAGGTAGATATTATAATACTAAAATTAATGTACTAGTTAATGAAATGTTTTCTGGAAGTTATGGAATCCTACAGATCTATACTTATAATTCAAAACTATTTTTTCTTTTTAAAAATTTGCCTATGTCTCAAACAAGTTTACCACCAATGGCTTTTTTTCCCTGTTAGGATGAGGATTTTGTACTTACAAAAGCTATTTTAGCAACCACTGGAGCAGTAGGAATGAAAAAATTGTTTCCACAGAAATGAGCATTTATATAGTAAATTAAAAAATTTCTGGATAAAAATGTTACCCTAACTTCCTCAAAAATTTCAAAACATTGCATGTCTGATAATGTCAACTCCTTTTGGGAAAAAGATAAAGGAAATGTATGATATTTATTTCATTTGAGAACTGAAAAAGGAAAGTTGTTAAAAGAGTTATGTGATAGGGGGCCGGGCATTTAGCTCAGTGGTTCTGCTGCCTGCCTCACAAACGCAAGATCCCAAGTTCAATCCCCAGTACCAAAAAAAAAAAAAAAGGGTACTTGATGACCTACTATTAGGTAAAAAGGTAAATTGTTATAATTCTAATTTTCTTTTGAAATAAACAAAAATATAAAAATTTAAACCTTTTCTTTGGTAATAGCTAGGGTTTTAAGGAGACACTTACCCCCACCTCTTTGCTTACCTGTATTTCTTGGCTTTCTATAATGAATGCAGTATTACTTTTGTTTCTCCTCAGCAAAGAAACATAGCAATTTAACTGCAATTCTAAAGATATATTAATTTAACATTTGATAAAGTTTCTATACTTGATTTTCTGTAATTAAGTAGGAACAGATTTCCCTTGACAAACAGGAAAAAAAGTTCCTTATGCAGAGACTATTAAAAAGATAATTTATTTTGGGCCCACAATACCTTATCCATAATTCCAAAATTCTCAACAGCTCTAAAATCCATAACTCATTTGGTGGTAAACCCTGAGATGATCAGATAAAGTTAAATCATTATTTTTCTCATTTAGCATATTTTTATCTTTTGCTGCCAAAATATTAACGCCCAAGATACTGCTGAAATGTTTATCTGTAATATAAATATCACTTTTCTAAAATCTGAAAAATTCCAAATTCTAATATACAGGTAGCCTCAAAAGAGATTGTGGACCTATATTAGAGATCTCATGTAAACTTATGTATGACATAAATTCATTAGCCTCATTGGTTTAAAAAAATTATCATATTACTTTATGGTTGAATTATTAGTTATTTATCAGTACTTAAAAAATTAATCCTCAATTTAAAAATAGTAACTGTTTCTGGTTTAAGAACCAAAGGACTTCACATTCAATATAATGTCTGTGCATACTTCATCTAATTACACAGATTAAAGGATACTAAATAATCTACATGGTAGAAACCTTAGATCATAAGAGAGGAAGTTTAATAATTAGATCTAGATTTGTTCATTAGTACAAATAATGACAGCATATCAGAATGTATTATGCTCTACAGAAAATAATTTACATGACTTTCTTTACTGTAGGACAATCTCTCCTGGGAAGAATTATACTCAATGACAGGAATAGAGCATTCTTAACCTTTTCTATTTCTAAAGAAATTACATATCAGTGACAACATAAAGACTGAAAGATTTAAATTTATGTCAACCAAAAAACCAAACACACAGCTTTAAATTGTTAGCTTTTAAAAGAAAAGGTTTAAATATTCTTGAAAACAAAGATATAAATATAGAAACCATAGAGGATTAATTTTATTTATATTATTTCCCCAAGAAAATATGCCCAAAATAAAGACAAAAGAGAAAGAAAGAAAGAAAGAGAGAGGGGCAGGGAAGAGGAGAGGAAGAGAGAGAGGAGAGAGGGAGAGAAGGAGGGAGGGAGAGGGAGGGAAGGAGGGAGGGGGGG